CAGGGCACATGCCCGGGTTGTGGGCTTGATCCCCAGTGGGGAACATGCAGGAGACAGCTGATCTGATTCTCTCTCATCATGGATGTTTCTATCTCTCCCTCTCTCCCTTCCTCTTTCTATAAAATCAATAAAAACATATATTTTTTAAAAAAGTTCCCTGTGTCCTACTTTAACAAAATCTGGATATAGGTGTGTTATTAGTAAAGGAAGTTTAAAATCAGTATGTGGATTTTTAAATTACACTAACAAATGTAAATTAGCTTTCAAACCCCTTCTGATGTCTAAAATGTCTGAGTGCCATTGTGGTTTTAGGAACTGAAGACACCCAGTATTTCAGAGAACCTGGATGGTCTGTCACATAGAATAGAGGCATACTTAGAAGACAGGGCTATGCTCTTTGTTTGGGCCATCTGTGGGGCTATCACAATGCATCTGCTGTGTCAAATTCCTGGGAGGGGAAAGGCAAAATTAGTAGGGGAAACTGACTTCAACATAAAGTGTTTTAGATGATCCTCTGGATGACCTTATGAAGTAGACAGGACTAGTCTCTGGTGCTCATCCCAAGGCCTTACACATCATGGTGATTCATTATAAATATTTGATTTAATGTTTACAACAGGAAAACAGGCTTGCAAATGTTTAGATGACATGCACAATGACTACCTGCTGACATCACACGATTTCTCTTAGGACCCGATTACATAATATACATGAAAAGATCTAAATAGACCTAATAAATGCCTATGTTTCCACAGTAAAGAATAAAGCCATGATTTGGTCACGGCCAGGACATTTATCTCCTAACACAGTGTTTCTCAAAGTTAATGTGCCCAGAAATGACCTGGAGATCTTGCCACAGAACAGATTCTGATTGGGTAGGTCTGGGGTGGGGCCCAGAGTCTGCTGTCCATCAAGTTCTTGGGTGAAGCCAATGCCAGCTCCCAGGACTGCCCTTGTGAGCAGGGAGGCTCTGACCGGTCATCCTGACTGTTGGTGCATGGTTGGCCTTAAAGGGCATATTTCCTAAGTGTACTGCAGACTCTGGTTATCCCTAAATGACTTTTGAAGTAAGTCTGTATGCTTCACTTGGTTTTGAAGACTACTTTACAAACTAAATAGCAAAATGCTCTTTCTTGGGCAGCCAAAGAGCTAAAGGGTAGATTTTTAATTAGTTTGTCTGCCTGTTCTAGATTTCCACGACATAAATCAACAACGTGCAAAAACATAAAAAGATAATTTGCTAGTTTACTATGACTTTAGTTCATCTCGAAGGGGTGGCAGGGGAAGGGGGAGAACTTTGTACTTGTAAAAACAAACACACACACACACACACACACACACACACACACACAGAGAAACCTGCCAATTCCAAATGGCAGGAGAGACAAAATTATGTTCTCTATCTGAAGACAGGGGTTCACAATACCCAGGGAAACCAACAGCTGAGCAAACAAGTAACTTGCAGAAATGCTGCAGCCTCCTGATACAGAAGTGCTCAGGGCTTCAAGTTGGTGGGGAATAGAAAGGCACTGCGGGCCCCTGGTTCTGTGGAGTGGACGTGCATCAGAATTGCCACGGAAGGCCTGAAAATGCAGACCGATCCACCCCACGTTTCTGATCCAGCAGGCCTCAGGGAGGGCCCAGGATGCTGCTCACGCTGTGTGTCCACATAGCACCGAGTCTCTGCAAGGGGAGGAACCGTGCCTCACTCACAGCTGTACCCCAGTGCCCAGCACAGTGCCAGCACACACGGTTGGATTCCATTAAATATTTGCCAAATGAATGACCATTAAAACTGTCATTTCTAAAACAACTTTACAACTTGCTTATGTATACTTGTTGTGGGCGTCTTGTACACACATTCATTTCAAAATTACACGTGCGAGGCATTGTAGCCCCTGACCTGAAGGGGCTTTCCGGTTACATCCATCCCAATCACAGACACTAGTATTACACTTTCCCCCTCTACTATCTGGACAGTTCAAGTTTCGAACCTTCTTCTGCCAGTGGAAGCTGACAATTCACTTACCCAAATGACCCTAAAGAAAACACTACTTAGGAAAAATAGGCCAATTTATGTCACACATACTCATGCCAAAAAAAAAAAAAAAAAAATTGCCTGGGAGAGAACATCAGTATCTGTGTCTACACTGGAAACCTGGGCACTGAGGGCAGCCCAGGGAACAGCTCCACAGGTAAAAGTGCTATGGAGGCTTCGGCAGTTTCCTCTCCAAGTCCTTTCACATTTACCAAGCAGTCGTTTTTCAAATCCTCTGCCTGAGCTGTGTTACCATAGTCACATTCATTCCGAAAAACAGGTGTTTCTGTTAAAATTAGCCATTTCAAGCTGCCAAATATTTTAGATCCCTATGCCAGCTTTTTAAAAAAAAGTGTTTATAAAATAACCAATCAGATGTAACTGATGCTTTCAGAATTATAAAACTAAGTAGTTCCTGAGAAATATGACTGAATTAGAAAAAAAAACCTGGGGTGGAGATGAAGATAAAGGTAGGAATAAAAATACACACGCACATAAACTTAAATGTAATTTCTGGATTTCTTAACATCAACAGCCACAAAAAGACAGGTCTGCTTATTACTAGTTAAGTCTTGCGGTTGAAAGCCTTTGTCCCATTTGCTTGGGGTAAGTAATGGCTTTTGTTCCAAGTACTTAGCAGTGATGACCTCCTTCTCTCATGCCCATTCAAAGGAAGGTTTTCAACATCCCCAGTCAGGATGGTGCCCATTAAGCCTGTGTAAGAAAACTTGCCCTGGGAAGTCAGAAAAGCTGGAGAATTGATGTCTTAAATTAACTCTAGTGTGGTTTAATTTAAAAAAAAAAATCAGGCCAGTGTGATTTTATTCCTGAAACCAGTTATCTCTGCTGACCTTATTAAACCCAATGAAATAGGTCTGAGATGCTCCTTTATAAAAATGAGGGCTATTTGAAAAACAAGTCTAGCAACTTGGTACACTACAAGAAAGTTAAAATGTCAAAGGCCTGTGCCCAAATCCTGTGCGGAGCCAAGCAATGCAGAGGCCGAGATACTGCATTCCTCAGGCTCGTTTCCTAAACCCTGCTGAAAAAAAACGCAAGCAGAATTCATTTTGAGCCACCTGCTGGAAGAAAAACCCTAAACTTCATCTTAGAGACAGAGGGGGAAAGAGGTGAACACACCATTGAACCTAACTTCAGAGGATATTTTGAATACTGCAAGTCAAAACCTTAACTACACAGAAATGTTAACAGCAGCTACTGCTTAACCAAGAGAAAAAAATTTCCACAATTAAGACTAGCTACCTAGCGCCATTGAAGTACATAAAGAAAGTGATTTTGGGGGGAGCTTGCATTGTCCTGAAAATTTTTTCTGCAAGAAATGAGTCCGAGGAACAATTGCCATTTCTTTTTTTTCATAATCAAAGTTACAGCCTTCTGGCCTTAATTTTACTTTTCTCTGTTCCTTTCCAATTCTTTGTGATCTGCATAGGTTAAATGAACCACTTAATTATAAGGTCCAGCATTACTTATGGAAATCCAACGAATACAAGTAAGTAAAAATTCCTATAGGCAGGCAGGACTGTCATTAGCTCATGGGTTAGCCTTCCTTCCCCCAAATACTTCCTGAACTTGACTGACCCAGAATTTAAAGACAAGAAGGGGGAGAGGATTGAACATTCACCTTTTAATGAGCTTAAAAATTTAAATCTATTAGGCCTAAGAGAGAAAAACACCAACTTTCTTGACCATTTTTTAAAAACTTATACACCCCAGCCCTGGCCGCTGTGGCTCAGCGGTCAGAGTGTTGGCCCGAGCACTGAAGGCTTGAGGGTTCGATTCCCGATCAAGGGCACACGCTTGGTTTGCAGGATTGATCCCTGGCCCCAGTCTAGGCGAGTGCAGGAGGCAACTGATCAATGTGTCTCTCACAAAGATGCTTCTCTCCCTCTCTCCCTCCCTCCCTTCTACTCTCTCTAAAAAAATCAATGGAAAAAATATCCTGAGGTGAGGATTAAAAAAATAATAAAAATGAAAAATAATTTATACACCCCACCACTTTAAGACTTTTCAAACATCAAATGCAGAGAAACTAAATAGTCTGTTTTACTCAACACAGGTTTAAAGATGTTTTACACGTTGAATTTTATGTTCTCATAAAGACAGCCAGCCATTCAAGTAAAATGATATGGCTTTCCTTTCTAACATATTAGGTGAAAAATTCTTTCTTTTCAGGTCTGTGGGAAGTGCAAAGGTTTACGTACAACCAATCCCAAGAAATATGTAAACTGAGCAAATTTAAAGCACGTATTAGTTTTTATCCATGGGGCTCTCCCAGGGCAAGAACTGCATATAAATTTCTTGACCTTCAGTGACAAAACATCCAAAACTTCGCTGGGTTCAGCAAAACTACACACTCCTCTCCCCGCCTTTTTTCTTAAAATGTTTGCAGAAAGGAAAACTACCTTTACATAACTCCAAATTTCAATTAACAAAGCATTCTTCCATCAACCAAGGCGTATCTTACAAGATCAAGTTCACAAAAATAAACCTTTTGCTTGCAATTATGCTATGATTCTAGTAAGTTCTTAACACTTTCCCGAGTAGCTGTCCCTCCATTAAAAAATCTAGAACCCTCTATGCTTTCTTCTAAAATCATGAGTAACTGGATCTGGTCTGAATAGATCTGTCTACATAAAAGAGGTGACAGGCTCTCACTTGATGTACAGTTGAATGTATGGAATGTTTACAGTTCCACTCACAGATCCTCTGACTGGGAAGACTGGCATACCCCACAGAGTTAATCTGAAAAAGACAGGCACAGTACAAGTCAGACTTCCCTTCTTCCTGAATTCTAGGCTGCTCAAAGTAACTCGAGGGAAAGGTGTAAAGGGTTGAGGACTGGGAACCCACCTACTGCTACTAAATGAAGTACACTTCCACAGATGACATGCAGCATGCAACATCGCAATTATTGAAATTGCACAATAATCGCAAAAAGCCATCTGAGAAACATAACATTTTAATAGATGAAATAAATACTCCAGTACATGCAAGGTAAAAACTTGACATTGGGGGGGAAAAAATCACTCTAGTGTAAATCAGAAAATAAAACACACACTCACAGTAGCTTTTCCCCCCATTCGCAAATCACATGGCAAGGTCAGACTCTTTCCACACCAAGTATAAGCCTAATCCAACTTAAAAAGTAACAACATACAAAAAAGGTAGCTACATCCATGTCTAAGGAGTGAAAACTGAGGTAACCTTTCTTTTAATTAGGAAAAAAAAAAAGACCATAAAAAGAAATGAACCCATGACCTCCTTCCTGCGCAATTAATTAATAAAGTTTAGGTGAGGGATTCCTGAAGAGGAGCTGGGGTGGGGAGGGGGTAATCCCGCAGCAGCAGGTTACACATCTTCCATCTCCAGGTCCCTACTGTGTATGGGCAGCTGGGCACGGGCCCGAGTGCGTGTGTAAATTGGATGCGTGGCCCTGCCTTCTGGAAGATTCCTTTCGAGCATTTAACGTGGGGGCTGGGGTGGGAGCTTCACCTACGATTTCTTTGGTATAAATGGAGAGGGGCAGACAATAAGTATCTTCCTTTAGTCTGGGGGTGGAAGAAGGGGGTGGGGGGTGCTAATTCACAGAATTGGAATTCACTGGCGGTAAAGTCCTGGGCGAAGACCTCTCCCTTAAAGCCTGAGATAGCAGGGTGCAGCCTTCAGACACGGCGCAGGCCGAGTTCCTCAGCCTCTCCCTGTGGTCCGACATCTTGGCGCCCCCGTCCGGGTGCTGCGCCAGATCCCTGAGGCACTGGGTCAGGAGCACGCAGGCCGACACCACGCTCATGGCGCCACCGAGGATGGCGGTCTGCACGGCTTTGCCCTCGGAGCTCAAGGCCGCTGCGCGACCCAGGAACTGCGGCTCGGTGGCGAAGCCCACCAGCGCGCTCACCGCCTGCACCAGCGGCCCGCTGAAGAGCGCG